TCTTCGGCAAACGATGGTTCGGCATACGTAACACATGTCCCAACCAACGCAGCTTCTGGTGCTGGACACATTCTTCAATGGAAGTACCCGTTACACAACCGAAAACGCTCTCTAACTGCCTCGTTACGGATTCGCCGACACCAACCCACACGAGCTATGATTTGGGTAAGATTCAAAGAAGCCATCGCCCACCAGCCACATTGTTGAATGACCGAAAACCGTAAGAAAAAGTGCTCTATAGTATGTTCCATCACCCTGATCTCGAATACATCTCACTGGATGGGCCGGTATCTGAAAAGCGGGGAAAATGAGAAACCTTAGCAGAATTCATAACCCTGCGATACAACGAATGTAGGAGGTACTAGAATTCCCGAACAAATCTCCATCAAACTTTTTCTACAAAACGGCAGATACTGTGCATCTTGTATTCCCGATGCCTATCAAGACGGTCACATACACTTTCAGTAATTTGAGGCGGTCTGAAAGTAACTTAGTAATTTTAACCTAAACGTAATGATGACCATGGAAGATGTTACGGATACCCATTATTTCTACGCATCAAGTTATCAGAATTACCGAGACGCCAACTATCTCATAGAGACCCCGAACTTTTTCTATCTGTATCCGCCCATGTTAATCCTTCCAGTGTAGATCCTCTCCGCTTACAATCATCTGTACCTGAAGTACAGATGATAGCTAACATGAGCCTGAGTGGCGTTCCGTTCCTCAGATTCAAACCCACTTGATCCGTCAAGTCAACCTACTCAGGATTCCGAGCAAAGTTGTTCTAAACGAATTTCAAACCAGCAGCCCGAATACTAAGAACAAGTAACTAGAACCAGGTTGCATACTTCCGACACACCCGCACAGACGAAATTTGGACTGAGCTTTGCCACCGTCGATTTCTCAAGTGAAAAGAACAGAGTTTTGATAATTTTCTTGCCCATCCAAGCGGAAAAGACTAAAGATGTCTGAAAAATATTGACTCAGCAAACGGAACGCATCTTCACCAAGTAGTTGTAGAAAGAGGAAACATGAAATTATTCCATATTCATGCCAATCTTTCGTTTAGCTGTAGCACCCATTTGGTGCCTAATTGCCATGCCACCTAAGGAAGCATGAGGGATGGAATACTGCCAGGGTGCCCCGGCCTAGATAGGAGAAGTCGAGAGGCAGAGGTCGGGTTCGAACCATGGACCTTCCGGTCACGTTCTGACCAGTGAGCAATCAATCTAGCTCAATCTGCCCCAGTGCAATTATTCTGGTGAGTCCACACCCCATAGGGGACGCATTGCAGTCGAGTCTCGCTATCATTAGGGTTCTCAGCAACAGCTTGTGCCGATGAAGTGTTGGTAATACGCTCACTTCACATGTCAGATTTCCAGGCTCAAAACTCCGGCACGATCAAACATGTGCACTGCTGATGAGCTCTAATAACTGCGGAACTCGAGTCAGAATAATTGTGCCAGAGCACGCGGAGGGCTTCACAGACGAGTGATATTACTACCAATTCTACTACTTACAACAGATGACGTTACTTAGTGTTGAGTGACGCGTGGGTTTACCAGGCTACACAGTCTAAGGTGAGACTGGCGCTCTATCGGCTAACAGCCTCCGCCAATAGTGATACGGATTTGAGAAGCCGTCATCCAGCCAAACAACTAAGCATTCTATCGAAGATGTACGCGAGTTTCTGTTATCCAATTATCAATGCTTTGTTTTAGTCAACACTACCAACTATTAGCTTATTGTTTGCGAGATTCTTTCACATGTGTTGCCAAACGAAACCACAGAGACAACTGCCACCGCGCATTGATTCAAGCGGGAGCCCCGCTGAAAGACGCCGCACGATAACGACACCTGCAGAGCCTGTGGCATTGGCCTCTGAATCATGAGAGTTTCTCTACCGGGAGCAACAGGACAGCAATGAAGCGGATAGGTTAGCGAGTGTACTTCGGTTTTCACTTCTGGTTAATGATCTCACATCGCTGTGAAGCGAGTCCACTGTACAAGCACTAGGTCTACATAGATCAGTGTTTGGGGCCCGAAGGTACCGATCGCGATGTCCGTAGTTCGGATCTGACCCTGGGTTTTAGATTTTTCATGTCTGAATCCAGATAACTTGGCAGCACCTATGCCCTCGTGAGCCCCCGGGATACATGAGATTTTTTCACCGAAACAGTTGATTGAAAAGATGGCACGAGTTGGGAGTACAAACGACCGAAGATGTTCAACGATACTGACCGCCTCTTCAATCAAGATCTTGAAGACGCCCAATGTGCGGCCGCCATTCGGAACCCACGAAATGTGTACAAAAATATCACATGCTTAACATCCTCAGTAGTGTGTGGAATCCATATGTGGACATAGCACTAGATGATATACCACAGAAGCCTTGTACAGCAGTTTGTTTCATGTGGGGGTGGCAAGGCCCTGGTGAACAGCCTGACAACCATACTGCAGATTTGGAACGAAAACAAAACACCAGCCAAATGGAGCTACTTCACCGAAATCAGTTTTCAAAAAGGGAGCAAGAATGTCATGTGGAAACCATCGTGTTATCAACCGGGTATCCGTCGCATCGAGGATGATTTCTGGCAATATTTTGCGCAGTTAGATGGATTACCGAGAGAGACAGATTCGTGAGAATTAAGCTGGGTTTCGCCCTGGTCGAGGATGCATCGACCATATCTTTACCTTGAGACAAATTCGTGAACAGCACAATCCCTTCGGACGTCCAACGTTGGTCGTTTTCTGGATTTGAAAGATGCTTTTGATTCTGTCGACCGTCAGCAACTTTGGCAGTGTCTGACGATCAACGGTGTCTCTTCCGAATTTCTCTCCCTTATGAGGACAATGCGAACTCGAGTACGAGTATACGGAAAGCTCTCACTTGAGTCCACCTCGTCCAGTGGTGCAAGACAAGGCTGTCCACTTTCCCTTTTCCTCTTCAAATTTATCATTGATATGCTGTTTGAAATTTCTCTGCCTGTCTCTAAAAACTCGGGAGTCGAAATGCTCCCACGACGTTCCCTCGTAGACACTGAGTATACAGACGATATTGCACTCCTTGGTTCAGATCCTTCAAAAACGCAAACGATTTTAAATAAACTAAACAATTCTACCGCACGGTTTGACATACGTTTCACACCTGCAAAATGTAAAGCGATGCTACTAGACTAAGTGGAATCAAACCCACACCTCATGCCTGCAACTGAGCCAATCAACGTGGTTGGTAAATTTGTTTACCTAGACAGTTGTACAAGTGGACAGAC